ACAGAATAGCGAAAAAGGCTAAATTCTGGAACCATAAACACGAACGACTTTCCTTTGTTTTTATGGCTTTAATCCACTTTGGAGTGATTTTTTTCCACTTGGCTGGACCTGTACGTCTCCTGTGTTAATGTTGGTACATGTTATGCTAATTCTGTACGGTGGAGATCATTAAGAGTCGCTGTCAGGTGAAAAAATCTTTCGCTAACACTGTGTTGACCGTGAACCGGAAGTGTTGGGAGTGGCATCTAGTGCTGGGCCGGATGTCCGTGGCATATAGGCAATTCAATAATACTTTAATAATCCAAAAGAGAAATTAAATGTTGCTCTGACTTATATTATCCTGGTTTCTATAAAGAGTTGTTATACATACTGATGGCTGTGAGCAGGAAGACTCTCCTGTAACGGTCCGTCTTACAGCGAATCTGAAAAAGGCTCTGACTAAAAACACTCTGTTGTAGTGTGAGAATGTGATGAAGAGGATGCTCAGGGTTGTCCATCAAATGGTCAGAAAACCTGGCAGGGAGACGCTGGATTCCATATACTAGGTGACTGGGTTCTTGTTGGGGCTTGGAGTTCAACCTACTTGTTCCCCTGCTATCTCACATTGTCCATCATGATTGATGGAAGAGATGGTTTGAACTTCCTCCTTCTCTCTTTGCTCCTGGTCTGTATCCACGGCACCTCCATTTCAACTCATGTGGGATTCAAGGCTGTAGTTGAGGCTGAAGTTGAGGTTGTAGTTGAGGCTGTAGTTGGGGCTGTAGTTGTGGCTGTAGTTGAGGTTGTAGTTGTGGCTGTAGTTCAGGCTGTAGATGTGGCTGTAGTTGAGGCTGTAGTTGTGGCTGTAATTGAGGTTGCAATTGTGGCTGTAGTTGAGGTTGCAATTGTGGCTGTAGTTGAGGCTGTAGTTGAGGTTGTAGTTGAGGTATTATTTGAGCTTTGGAAATGTTAATCAGCTGCTCTCAGTTATAACTAACCAGAGGGAATATTCATCCAAAAACAGCATTTTTATCCAGAGAAGGAGGAATTAAAACAGTTTAAAAATAATAATTAAAATGAAAGTAACAGAGCTGCTCCAACATGCTGCCACCTTGAGTGGTGCAATGTTACAGTAACATGTTCCATTATTGTCCCAGCAGTTTCACAACAAAATTAAAGTTTTAGCATTTTTGACATGAAGCAACCTGTCAAAATAAAAGCCCTAACACACGAGCAGCTAGTGCAATGATTTCAGGTTTAGTGGTTTAGTCCCAAGATAACACATTGATTTAATTTGCCTCCTACATCTCAGGACCTGCAGTGTGACTATTATGCACATGTACATTGAGATGACGATGCTCAAATGATACATCCTGCAGTGTAACAACACATTCTCAGAGGGACTGCTCACAGCATCACATCACCTCGTTAAAGTTTGACCAAGACTTTTAGTTTAAACAGAAGCATGAAAGGTGGCGGATGATATGCATTACTTCAAGGAATGCAAGGCCTGGTGGTATTTAATTTCTTTTAATGTTCAGACATTCATCCACTGTGATTATTTGGAGGCTGGTTACCCCACTCAGGACTCTGATTACTTCAGACTTTACTCACTGTCAAACTGTTTTAACACTATGTGAACTCAGACTCACCCTGCAGTTATCAGACAAACCGCCTAAACATTAACTCGCCCTCTCTGCAGAAGAATTCAGCGTTTTTGATTCACAACCGCAGCAGAGCTGAGACCTCTGGGAGGACAAACCTGTTGGCTCTGAGGAGACGTTGTTTTTATTTTTGGGCGGGTTCTGAAGTACTGAACGTTTTCTTGTTTCTTGTGTGTAAAAACATTCCAGACGTCATTATGGACTTACAGACCGGTGTCAGTTTTCCTCTTAACGAAATAGGTCAAAACATCTGTAGTTATTTGTGGTCAAAACAAACTGATTCATTCCAGCCAACTAATCCATAAACAACACAGCTCTAACCGGAACTATCAAGGTTGTACATTTGAACTGATGGATTCACTGATCCTAAACAAAGAGGAAGTGTGTAGCGCAGATCAGTACGGCTTCCTTTAGATAAGAGCAAAACAAATATATACATGACTGAGGATTGAGTGGTRTGTGGAGAAACAGACAGTTATAGTGCATTTGTTATAACGTTTGTGATAATGTCAAAATACTGTATAATGAATAAAAACTGTATCTATGGATCATTTCAGTGAATTGTCTGAAATATAATCCTAAATAAGCAGTAGCAACAAAAGTCGGGATTTTGAACAGAAAAGCCCTCATTTTTATCAGATTTTCCCTGCAAGCT